CACGTCAAGGACGCCAACAAACAGGCGGTGATACATACACGCTGGAAATTTCTTTCCCGGCAGTGAAGTATGTTTTTGTTAAGAAATAGAAACGCTTTTGAAAGTTCTTTCGCTGCTGCTTTTTAGAAATTCTGCAAATCCCTCAAAAATAATTCGCTATATATCTCAGACATTGTGGTTATGGTTTTGTTGGGGTTGAGGTTGGGGGAGGTTATGGTATTCATGTCCATGTCTTTAACAAAAATTCAAAAAATTCTGAAATTTTTTAGTGCCTAACAACAAAATGCTTTGCTTAAATAGTTTGATTTATTTAAAGAAGAATGCTAATATATTTTCTCTCTTTTCCCCATCCAGTGATCCGGTAGTTCATACCTCTACTGGCGAACGTTCCACTGTCAAGGCCCTGTTGGAAAAACTTATTTTGGAAGATGACCAATTCGCCGTCCAGGACATATTACCCAACACCGTACCGGATCCCGCCTCTTTGGAATTGGGCTCTGAATATGCTTGCCCCGTGGGACAAGTTGTCATGATTCCCGACTGTGTACCCTGTGCCATTGGTACCTTCTATGATACCCGCAACAATACTTGTGTTCCTTGTGAACGCGGTACCTATCAATCGGAAGCTGGCCAATTGCAGTGCAGCAAATGTCCCATTATTGCTGGTCGCCCCGGTGTCACCGCCGGACCTGGAGCCCGTTCGGCTGCCAGCTGTAAGGAACGTTGTCCTGCTGGCAAATACTTTGACTCTGAAACTGGTTTGTGCAGATCTTGCGGTCATGGTTTCTTCCAACCCAATGAAGGTTCCTTCAGTTGTGAATTGTGCGGTTTGGGTCAAACAACACGCTCCGCCGAGGCCACTTCACGCAAGGAATGTCGCGATGAATGCTCTTCTGGCCAACAGCTGGGTGTTGACGGGCGCTGTGAACCTTGTCCTCGCGGTACATATCGTGCCCAGGGTGTCCAGCCCTCATGTGCAGCCTGTCCATTGGGTCGCACCACACCCAAGGTTGGTGCCAAATCCGTTGAAGAATGTACCCTGCCGGTGTGCTCGCCCGGTACCTATCTCAACAGCACCATTAACATGTGTGAAGAATGTCGCAAGGGTTACTATCAGCCGGAAACCCAACAAACTTCCTGCATTCAGTGTCCACCCAATCACAGCACCAAGATTACCGGAGCTACCTCAAAATCTGAATGTACAAATCCCTGTGAACAAGTGGCCGAAGGACGTCCTCATTGTGATCCTAATGCTTATTGTATTTTGGTGCCGGAAACTTCGGACTTTAAATGTGAATGTAAACCTGGTTTCAATGGTACTGGCATGGAGTGTACCGATGTCTGTGATGGTTTCTGTGAGAATCAAGGCAATTGTGTTAAGGATCTCAAGGGTACACCATCGTGTCGCTGTGTTGGCTCCTTCACCGGCCCCCACTGTGCCGAACGTTCTGAATTTGCCTATATTGCTGGCGGTATTGCCGGTGCTGTGATCTTCATTATAGTCATAGTTCTATTGATCTGGATGATTTGTGTCCGTTCGACAAAGAGACGTGATCCAAAGAAAATGTTATCGCCGGCCATCGATCAAACCGGTTCTCAGGTGAACTTCTACTATGGAGCCCATACACCGTATGCCGAGTCGATAGCGCCCTCACATCACAGTACCTATGCCCATTACTATGACGATGAGGAGGATGGCTGGGAAATGCCAAATTTCTACAATGAAACGTACATGAAGGATGGTAAGTAGGGAACATTTATTGATATCAGCGCTGTTTCTTTAGAGATCAATAAGTTTCAAAATCACGAAAATATTATTTTAAATATTTTTCCCCCGGAACCCAGTTTGAATTGCTAATTGATTTAATCACAGACGTTGTATACTCCACAGGTCTGCATGGAGGTGGCAAGATGAGCACATTGGCTAGGTCGAATGCCTCGTTATATGGTACCAAGGATGATTTATACGATCGATTAAAACGACATGCCTATACTGGCAAAAAAGGTGAGTGGCTTTAGAAAAATGTTAGGGTGGCAGGAAACACCATATGACACATGACCCTTATAAAGGTCAAGTTTAATGGAAGTCATAATGCTTCTACGGAAATTTGTTATAATGGCCTGTTCCTGCCATCCTTCGTGTGTACTTGTGTTACTCTGTATTAATTTTTTATGATTTTGTGTGTTTTCGTTCTTTCATTCACAGAAAAGAGTGATAGTGATAGCGAAGTCCAATAAATTCAATAGAACAAACAACCACACACACACAACTGCCAATTTAGCAGCGTTAGTAATAATACAAAATCTCAAATAAACGAACAAAAAAACTACCAGGAATAAAAGCAGCAAACAATCATCTATTAAATATTTATTACGAAACGCTCGACTAATGTAACAAACTTTAGAAAAAAAGAAAATGCTCACAACACTTTAAATGGGGCTTAAATGCTAGTCCTCCACAAAAGGCCCAGGCACTTAAGTCACAATGCAAAAACCCATTCCATTTCACATCCATACATACCCATGAGAGATGCGACCATCAACATCATCATCAGCGTCATTTTACTCATCTCTCAGACGAACTTAATTATTTGATGATATTTCAGATGATGACAAGTTGAAAGCTTTATATTGATTTGTTGTAATTTTTTTTATATATATTATTTGTGTATAAAATATTCATTGGAAAATGTAAAATTTTTTCTTATTATTTTTTTTTTATTTGAGTGATTTCTTAGAATCTCTCTTTTAATTTCCTGCTAAAATTTAGTGCCTAACAAAAAAAAAAAACACTGCAAATTACTCAGCTTAATGTAAAGCTTTTAAAAAGCTGCTTTATGACGACTTGAAATTTCAAACAAAAACAAAAAATCAGCAACAACAAAAATTTATCATTAACGAATTGAAATGCAATATTTTTTTTTTTTAATTACAAAAACAAATTAAACTATTAAATTAAATGGTAAAACAAAATCGAATGGCAATGTAAAAGTGACTCGTCATTCGATTTATGTTTATAAGAGTGCATGTGCTTCTAGTTCGTATTTGTTAATTCATAGGTATTTTTATTTTATTTTATTATTTTTTAATTTCATTTTTCAAATTTTATAATTTTGTAATTTAATTTAAAAAGAAAAAAAACAAAAAAACACTGTCCCCCTTCCATATTATTTTTTATAATTTTACTTTCCCCCCTTCCCCCTCTCTACGATCTTCCACTAAATATCATTTATTGTAGTACTCAACTCAATACACACATACAGCATTTCCTTCCGTTATTTATTTCCATATAAAAAAAATGAAACGGCAATGGAAGTTGTTAAGAAAAATGTCTGAGTTTGTGTTTTTATATTATTTATATATACGTTTATTGTACCATAACTAAAAAAACAAAAATATTTAGGTTTATAAAGATTGTTTTTATAAATTAATACGATAATTATCAAACAAACAAAAAACAATATTAATTTTACAACAACAAAAAAATGTAAATTGTATTTTTGTGAATACAATAAAAAAATAAAGAAACAAAAATTATTATTAAATAAAACGAAACATTGTTTTATTTTATATTAAGGGGGTTTTCAGCTATTAGCATCATAAGGACATAAGTTCATAAGTAAAATTAAAATAATAATAAAATAATAATAACAATAATTATAATAATAATTATAATAATGATAATAATAATACTAATAATAATAATAATAACAATAATAATAATTATAATAATAATAATAATAATAATAACAATAATAATAACAATAATAATAAAAATAATAATAATAATAATAACAATAATAATAATAATAACAATAATAATAACAATAATAATAAAATAATAATAATAATAACAATAATAATAATAATAATAATAATAATAATAATAATAATAATAATAATTATAATAATGATAATAATAATACTAATAATAATAATAATAACAATAATAATAATTAATAATAATAATAATAATAATAATAATAATAATAATAATAATAATCATAATAATAATAATAATCATAATAATAATAATAATAATAATAATAATAATAATAATATAATAATAATAATAATAATAATAATAATAATATAATAATAATAATAATAATAATAATAATAATAATAATAATAATAATAATAATAATAATAATAATAATAATAATAATAATAATAATAATAATAGTAATAATAATAATAATAATAATAATAATAATAATAATAATAATAATAATAATAATAATAATAATAATAATAATAATAATAATAATAATAATAATAATAATATAATAATAATAATTATAATAATAATAATAATGACAGTAATAGTAGTAATTAATTAATAAATAAGTAAAAAATAAATAAAAACTTAAATGGACTTAAAAAATATACATAAATAATGAAAATAAATATATATAATAAATGTTGAAAACATATAAAAAAGGATTTGGGTTGGGTTTGTAAAGTCAGTTAAAATAAATGACGAATTTGCGTACGAAACACACAGGTAGTTAGTTAGTCGTCAATCAGGTCTGACACAGCTCGCTCGTTTTCTTATCCTTTAAAATTGAAAAGTGCTTTGTACGAAATTTCGCCATACACCAGGCGACCAGAATTGCTCAGGAAGCAGGAGGTCGCCAAAATTATTTGGGAAATTTAGATCTGGCAATGCTGTAGTAAAAACTAAAAACCAAAATTCAAAGCATACTTTCAGGCACATATATTTCCGAAAGTGTGGCATTGCCAGATTAAATTATTTCTTTTTTGCTTAACACTAAATTTAAAGCATACTTTCAGGCGCATTTTAGTCTAACTCCTTTCTCAAGATAACTGCTTTTAGTTTAACATCAGAAAGTCAAATGAATTTGCCTTTTAAAAATAATTGTCAATTTTCCATCCTTTGTTTCCCATGTACTTACCCTCCATTCATTAAAATCCACACATTTTTTTTAGTTTTCAAAAGAAAAAAAATTAATAAATTTCTTTATTTTATTTTGCACAATTGGTTTGTTTGTTTTAAGGTTTTAATACAATTTTACTAATTTTAAATTTAATTTAAATTTTCAATTAGACTATTTTACAATGCTCTTATTTCACTAAATACTTTTATTTTTGGTTAAAATTCAAACTTGGAACAATATTTCGTCTTCTTCGACTGTTTTTCTTTCCTTCATTTAACCAATCTTCTTATAGACTATTGATAATCCCTAGCATTTTTTGTTTTTCTTCTGTGGAATCGGTAAAAACACCAATAAATATTTGTGGAGTTATTTTAGTTTTGTTTTCTAGTGATTTTCATGATTTCCATTCCTCAAAACGACATCAATAATAATTTAAACTTAATTATTTTTTGGTTTCTTTTGAAGCAATAAAGCGTTATTCCAAATTGAATTTTGTTGGGCAAATAAGTGTTGAGTTATGCTACATAAAGGGGTTAATGTTTGTGGTTTAACCTAACCATGGCAATGTAATTTTGTGAGAGATATTGTCGATTGAATAAAAGATAGCAATTCGTATAGATTTTTGACACTTCTCTCTTTAAAATTAGTATGCCATGGATATATTAAAGAGTGCACAATCATATTATTGGATATTCCAAGAGATTTGATATTAACGTAAAAACTATAATAAAATTACCAGAAGTTTTTCATTTTCATATTTAAATTGAACTAAATATAAAAATTTACAAATATTCCCCTTAAAAACGAAACCATAATTTTATTATTGAATACCCTACACAAGCCACTATAGAGATCAAATTCGATATCGCGAAGTCAAGTATCACGACCGCAACCAAAAATGACAAAACCAAGCGTCTCGTAGTACTATTTTTTTTGAAGGGATTGAATCTGAATTTTGGTCTTGATACGTCAAGCAGCCTCAGCCTCGTAGCTATAGAGGGTTATTTCATTTCACATGGCCAAAAAGTGCCTCATCGAAATAACTGTTTTAGACAAGGTCTCGTTTGGACCAAATGCATTTCAAGACATTTGGAGTCGATCTAGAGGTGTACGTCCGTCTATCCATCTATCTGTTTGGCTAGAGCGGACAATAACTTTCGTAAGGTGTATCTGATGTGGTCTAAACTTGGTACATCGTAATATTATTATCAAACATAAATCGAGTTCGGATATGGGCAATATCAATCAACTCCTTTTAGTACCTCCCCAACAAGATGCCAAAAATTTCAGAGAAAATAAATTGCCTCGTGCAAAAAGAAAGGATCATCCGATTTTGTTCAAACTTTTCAAATCCTAATATTTGTATCTGTGCTAGGTCAGGTGTAAAAATTGACAATAAATTTCAAAATGTTGAATAATCTCAACGCTTATAAAATGTGAAATAAGAACCCAATTGTATTGAATTTTCGCATATCGCAGTATTTCTAACAACTCTAGGTTTGATATGAAAATTGGATAGGTGGGACCACCCCTCTTGTACCTATCACACAAAGTTTCAAAATTTGTAATAATCATTAAGCTCATAAAATACGAAATGAGCATCAGATTCCTTTCGAACTCGGTTCCTATCAACACAAGATGAGGTGTAATGATTTAATTTATCGGACTACTTCCTCTGGTACCTTCCCCACAATGGGTAAAAATTTTGAATATTTATACCTTTCATAAAAGAGGAAATAAGCATCTGATTCTTTCCAAATGTCACACCAGCCAACATTTCTTTCAAAACAAGATCTGATGCGACGAAGATATATATCGACCCACTCTTACTCTAACCTCTCACAAACGGTCACAATTTTCAATTCTTAAATCTCTCATAACATGAGAAACAAGTCAGCGATTCTTTTCAAACTCGATCTACATAAATATTTCTTTCATCCAGAGAGCTGATGTGAATATGGAATGTATCGGTCAACTCTAGTACCTCCCAACAAAATATTGGCCACCATAAAAGTGTCAAAAGTTTGAATAATTATGCAAGTCAAAATATATTTAAATAAGCGGCCATTGGATGAGGGTATAGATCTGTCATAAGAATCGTCATAAGCTGTTGGGTATCACATAATCAGCTCCGCTCGGCTATAGCCTTTGATTACTTCTTACTTCAAAACTATCCTAATGAAAGAAAAAGTAATTAAACCAAGCTACAGAAAGGACCTTGGATGCTAAAAATAATTTCTCTCTATATAATAAACATTTGGTGGTGGCGCGGTGCAGGATATTTTCCAGTCGACTAGGCCGACCTCGTTTTCTTGATTTCATTTTAAATGTTATGCTAAAAATTATCTAAAACTTCACCTGAATTTGTCAGCATTCCATTGTATGTTTTTTTGTTTGCGTGTGGGTGTGCTTCTTGTATATGTATTCACGACGTTTTGTCTTCGTATTTCTTCTCTCTCTCTCTTCTCCAATTTTCATTTAAAGCCTGACTATTCAGTCACATGATCTCGATCTTCAATATTGGCCTCATTGGTATGATCTTCTTGTTTTCTAGTTGTTGTTGTCAAATCTTGTTGTAGATTTTCCCGATATGCATCACAGCTACCACACAAAGCCTCAGCCTCATGATCACGATTGTGATCATCATCGTCGTCATCATCATCCTCCATGTTGCCTGCATCATTCACCAATGTCACCTTGGGCTGAAAATTCGCATAACACATGTGCTGAGGTGAGATCGTGCTGTGTTGGGTTTGTTGATGCTGTTGCATAGGCGGCAGTGTTTGTGTTGTAGGAATTGCCGTTTTACCAGGGCTGCTGGTGCCACTTTTCTGGGCATCTATGTCACCACCTCCACAACCAATTGTGTGCATTGAGTGATCCCCATTTTGACCACTGCATGGTGGCATTTGTGTATTGACCACACTGACCGTTGGTGGGACATTCAACATTGTTCGAATATTTGAACGATGTCGCAGGCCCTGATGTAGGTGTTGCTGTTGTTGTTCGATATTATCTTTGTGCTCCATTAGGGGGGTTTGGTGATGGTCCTTTTGTTCTGTATTCGGGGGAAGAGAATATTTAAATGTTTTATTTTTCAATGAGTTATGAGGTAAGTTAAGAGAAAGTTATGGTAGGGAGATTCTATTAATGCAATAAAGTTAAATGAATTTAGGGAGAAACCAAGAATAGGAATTTAAAGAATAGGAGAAATGTATATCAGAAGGCATGAATGTCTAATCTTAATATCCAATTTCCCGATCCTCGAAAAAAGTCAAATATTTTGTTTCATGGATGTCTAGTGTCGACAGAAATGATGGCAATGATTTTGAAATTGCTGGTGTATATTGCAGCGTATAATCGACATTAAAAATACTTTAATTATGGCATACTTTTAGGCTTGAAAATAAATTAACAAAATTGAAAACATGGAAAGTTGAGAGCAAAATCCAGTCCCTTTTAAAATCGCACCTCCCCAATTCTCCTAACCAAAATTCCCTTCAATGCAAAAATAACCTCCATGATTACTTACCCAATGATGCAAGCAATTTCGGTTGCAGTGGCATTAGATAATCACTGCCGGTGGTGGCTGCCCTCGGCTGTAGGCTCTGCATTGCTGGTACGCTTAAAAAGTCCGCTGGGGAGAAATTAAAAAGCGATTAGGCCAAACACTAAATTAAGTGAAAGTGTATTTTGCAAAAGTGGACGACAATAACTGGATTATTCAAAACGATATTAAAAGTCCATTTAAGAGTCATTTTGGGGATACCATATTCGTTTGTTTGTATTTTTTTTTTTCGTACAACACATTCAAATGTATGCATGTATGTGGTAGGTAGGTAGGTATCATGTTCTGAGTTCAACTGGGTGTTGTGTGTACGCATTATGCTGTTGGCTGACTTTTCATACTGTAGTTAGTTATGAGGGTGTTTGGTTAGCAACAAAACGCATCCAAGCAAAACAATTATGGAAATTTGTTGTAATGGACTTGTTGAATATACACTTACATTTACATATGTTTTGCATATATACACACATGTATTTATGTAGGGGATTTTTGTCGTATATGTATGTACATTAGAATGAAATGAAAAGCACACATTTTTAACTTGGTTTTTGGTGGCAAGGAAGGGAGATGCAGTGCATCAATGTCCATTAAAAGCTTCTAAAAATGTTGAATTGTTCTATTTTTTTTGGGTAATAACTGATCTTTTTGAATATATCCACATACCCTAATATATCCACATACCCATAACTGTAACAGGACCCATTTTTTTTTTTTAAATATATTTCCGATCAGATTTCTTCTATGGAAAGATATCACTGATCATATTTTTCTTTACAAAAATATCACAGTTGATAAGTTGTCTATAGGAAAAAACGCTGATGACAATTTTTATAGAAGAAACATATCACTCCTAATAAGTTTTCTCTAGAAAACTATCATTTATGATAATTTTTTAATAACAAAATATCATTGTTTAGAATTTTTCTATTGAAATATATATTACTGATGATAATTCTTCGTTCGAAAAATATGTCACTTGTGATTTTCTTTCGAAAAATATATCACTGATGATATTTTTTTGTGGAAAAATATATGTTTCACTGACAAAAATTTTTCTATGGAAAAATATATCACTGATGAGATTTTTTCTATGGAAAAATATATTACTGACGATAATTCTTCTATGGAAAAATATGACTGTTGAAAAATGTATATCACTGATGACAATTTTTCTATAGAAAAATTATAATTTTTCTATGGAAAAATATGGAAAACTGATAATTTTTCTATAGAAAAATATGTCACAGCTGATAATCTTTCTATCGAAAAATATATCACTGATAATAATTTTTCTATGGAAAAATATATCATTGATGATAATTTTTCTATGGAAATTATAATTTTTCTATAGAAAAATTGTCATCAGTGATACACTGATGATAAATGATGATGAATTTTCTATAGAAAAATATATCACTAACGACAATTTTTCTATAGAAAAATATATCACTGATGATAATGTTTCTATAGAAAAACATATCACTATTGATAATTTTTCTATAGAAAAACATATAACAGATGGTCATTTTTCTATAGAAATATATATCGCTCATGATAGGTTTTCTATTGAATTATATCACTGAGGATAGTTTTTTTTATAGAAAATTATCAGTGATGCTAATTTTTGTATAGAAAACTATATCACTGATGAGAATTTTTCAATCGAAAAACATATCGCTGATGAGAATTTTTCTATGGAAAAATATCAATGATGAGAATTTTTTTTATAGAAAAAAATATATCAGTGATGATAATTTTTCGATCGAAAAACATATCTCTGATGATAATATTTCTATGGAAAAATATATCACTGATGATAATTCTTCTATGGAAAAATACATCACTGACGATAATTGCAATGATGAGAATTTTTCTATGGAAAACTATCACTATTGAAAGTTCTTCTATAGAAAAATATCACTGATGATAGATTTTCTGGAGAAAAATATCCAGAGAACGGCCCGTGTAAGCCATCATCCACACCAAATATGCCTGATGAGCCGCTTAACCAACGGCGAAACGCGTCGCATAGTGGTGAGTGTGTGATAGTGTCTATCTGGCTTTCCTTTTCACTGCAAATTTCAGATCATTAAGCTCGTCTCGAAAGAGAAATCAAACACATAAATCGCTGATGATAGTTTTTCTATAGAAAAATACCACTGATGCTAATTTTTTTATGGAAAAATCTCATTGACTGGTGACAATTTTTCTATAGAAAAATATATCACTGATAACAATATTTTTTGTAATATATCACTGATGAGAATTTTTCTATAGAAAAGTATCAAGGATGAGGAATTTTCTTCAGAAAAATATATCACTGATGAGAATTTTTCTTTAGAAAAATATATCACTGATCAGAATTTTTTTTAGAAAAATATCACTGATGAGAATTTTTCTATAGAACAATATCACTGGTGAGAATTTTTCTTTAGAAAAAATTCACTAATGAGAAGTTCTCTACAGAAAAATAGCTCTGGAATTTTATCAATGATGAGAAATGTATCATCAAGGTTTTGTCCAAATATAGTGGCATGGGACATAATTTGATCAACGAAGGCGACTACGGTTTAGGATTTTCGTAAAATGTTCCCAACGATATATAAATAATGGTGATTATACGTAAATAAATACAATTTTTTTTTGTTTGGTATTCTACTTACAGCTAATAACTGAGGGACCCGTTCGCAAAGGCATCGGTGATGTTTGTATCGATGTTTCGGCTGATCTAGTGCTATTCTTTACAATGCCAGCTAGAGGATTCTGTGGTCGTTCTATAATACTAACACCATTAACATTTACACCATTCATGCTCTCTGTTTGTGTTTCTAACATTGAAATCCAAAAGAAATAAAAATAAAACGGAAATCCAAAACCATATGAAACCGAAGGAGGCGGAACGAAAGGAATAGAAAACAAGAAAAATATGGAAAATGGAAAACAATAAATCAAAACATCACATCGATTACATTTCATCGAAAAAAATACAACCAACTAAATGAAAAACAACCAACATAAGGCAACACAATCAATAATAATGAAAACAACTCATATCGCATAAAAGTTCGTAGAGGGATGGGGAAGGGTTGGGGTTGTGGGTATGGAAAACGGAAACGGAAATGTTGCAAATGAAAAATTATATAGAGCCAATGAAGCCATCATTATATAGCTTTTAAGAGCTACTACTACAATCATGATAATACACTTAGGAACTGTATACCATGTGGAAAGTGTTGAATAGTTGAGTGGAGTTGAGTTCGGTTGGGGTGGGGAAAATAGTTTAATGTGATTAATCTAAAGCAATATGTCATTACCGATTTTAGCTGTGGCAAAAGCTTCCTTCAGCATTGGATTGTGATGCGGATGGGGATGCCCGGTGGCCACAACTCCCGGCGCAAGCGATGTTTGTTTGTAGGCATGTGTACGACCACCCCTTGGCTGAGGAACTGGTTCACGTTTACGTCGCGGCTGTTCTACAGGAAGAACTCTACGTCGTTGTTTGGGTAATTTTGAGCGAGCCTAGAAAATGGGGAGGAAACGTGAAATCGGTGAAAAAATGTAGATAAATAAACATCGGTGAAATATTTTCCAATAAAAATATCATCTGTGCTATATTTTTCTATAGAAAATTTATCATCAGTTATATATATTCTATAGATAAAAAATCTTTAGTGATACATTTTTTTCGATGGAAAAATTATTTTAGTTTTTCTATAGTTATTATAGTTTTTCATAGAAAAATGATCATCAGTGATTTTTTTTTCAATAGAAAAATTATCACCATCGATATGTTCTTCCATAGGAAAATTGTCATCGGTGATATATTTTCCCATAGAAAAATGTTCATCGGCGATATATTTTGCCATAGAAAAATTATCATGACTGACTGATTTCTTTCAATAGAAAAATTATCACCAGTGATATGTTCATCCATAGAAAAGTTGTCATCGATGATATATTTTTCCATAGAAAAATTTTTTTCGGTGATACATTTTTCCATAGAAAAATGTTCATCGGTGATATATTTTTTAATATAAAAATTATCATCAGTGATATATATTTCTATAGAAAAATTCTAATTAGTGATGTATTTTTCGAGAGAGAAATTATCATCAGTGATATATTTTTTTCGATAGAAAAATTATCACCTGTGATATATTTTTTCCGATAGAAAATTTATCATCAGTGATATATTTTTCAATAGAAAAATTCGCATCAGTACTATATTTTTCTATAGAAAAATTCGCATCAGTGATATATTTTTCCATAGAACAATAATCATCAGCAATATAGTTTTCTATAGAAAAATTCGCATCAGTAATATAGTTTTCTATAGAAAAATTCGTATCAGTGATATAGTTTTCTATAGAAAAATTCGCATCAGTGATATAGTTTTCTATAGAAAAATTCGCATCAGTGATATATTTTTCTATAGAAAAATTCCCATCAGTGATATATTTTTCTATAAAAAAATTAATCATCATTGATATATTTTTCTATAGAAAAATTCGCATCAGTGATATATTTTTCCATAGAAAAATTCTCATCAGTGATATATTTTTCTATAAAAAAATTAATCATCATTGATATAATTTTCTATAGAAAAAATTTCATCCGTGATATATTTTTCTATAGAATATTTATCATCAGTATTTTTCTATATAATATTTATCATCAGTGATATATTTTTCTATAGAAAAATTATCATCAGTGACATATATATTTCCATAGAAAAATTATCATCAGTGATATATTTTCCGATAGAAAAACTATAACCAGTGATATATTTTCCCATAGAAAAATTATCGTCAGTGATATATTTTTCCATAGAAAAATTATCACCAGTGATATATTTTTCTAAAGAAAAATTATCAGCAGCGATATATTTTTTACAGAAAAATTATCATTAAATATACATTTTTCCACAAAAATTATTATCAGTGATATATTTTTCCACAGAAAATTTATCATCAGTGATATATTTTTCTACAGAAAATGTATCATCAGTGATATATTTTTTCACAGAAAATGTATCACAAGTGATATATATTTCCACAGAAAATGTATCAACATTGATATATTTTTCTATAGAAAAATTCCCATCAGTGATATATTTTTCTATAAAAAAATTAATCATCATTGATATATTTTTCTATAGAAAAATTCGCATCAGTGATATATTTTTCCATAGAAAAATTATCGTCAGTGATATATTTTTCCATAGAAAAATTATCGTCAGTGATATATTTTTCCATAGAAAAATTCTCATCAGTGATATATTTTTCTATAAAAAAATTAATCATCATTGATATATTTTTCTATAGAAAAATTCGCATCAGTGATATATTTTTCCATAGAAAACTGATCATCAGTGATATATTTTTCCATAGAAAAATTATCGTCAGTGATATATGTTTCTATAGAAAAATTATCATCAGTGATATAGTTTTCCAAAGAAAAATTATCATCAGTGATATATTTTTCCATAGAAAATTTATCATCAGTGATATATTTTTCTACAGAAAATTTATCATCACATTTATTATCACCAGTGATATATTTTTCGATAGAAAAATTATCATCAGTGACATATATATTTCCATAGAAAAATTATCATCAGTGATATATTTTCCGATAGAAAAACTATAACCAGTGATATATTTTTCCATAGAAAAATTATCATCAGTGATATATTTTTCCATAGAAAAATTATCATCAGTGATTTATTTTTCTATATAAAATTTATCATCAATAATACATTTTTCTGTACAAAAATTCTCATCAGTGATATATTTTTCAATAGAAAAACTATCATCAGTGATATAAGTTATAATCCATATTAAAGCTTACTTCACTTTAATACCGCACTTTTTGGTAACACTTTCCATACTACTCCCCGTACTTTTTCCCATGTCGCGTTGACACCACCAACTTAATTAATTTGTAATTTGTCCAATCTTACCTGTGTGTGTGAATAAAACATGGAAAAGTTGCTAACAATTACAGGTACGGGTAGAGCTATTGTCAACACACCAGCCAAAGCACATAGGGCACCCACAAACATGCCAGGATAAGTTTTAGGTGCCACATCACCATAGCCCACGGTAGTCATTGTTACAATGGCCCACCACAAACCTAAAGGGATACTTTTAAATTGATTTTCCGGATTATCCTGCAGAAATGTAAACAAGCAAACAAACGAAACGAATCGAAAATCAAAGCAAAGAAACGAAAAAAGAAAAAACAACAAACAAACACACATTACAAATATTAACTTTAATACCCAAAAATTCGCTCTAATCCTTTTGGCAGGATATGTTCACTATAACATTACCTGAAGCTTTTCCGCATAGTATGCCAGACTGGCGAAGAACACAATACCCAAAACCAAGAAAAACACCAGCAACGTCAACTCTTTGGCCGAGGCTTTGAATGTGTGTATTAGGATCCGTAAGCCGGGCGAATGGCGGGTCAATTTGAACAGACGCATAATCCGCACAATTGAGAAGGCTTCCCACAGTCCGGTGTACTCGCCCATGCGTTGCATGACATCTGTGTAGAAACTTAAGGTGGCCACAAAGTCAATAATATTGACGGGAGATTTAACAAACTGCCACAAATTTGGGGAGACCTGTCCAAGTGGAAGATAGAATGGATGGGGAAAACACAAACACACAAACGTTAAGTAAACATTCAACAAAAATGCCAAACTCTCCGGTACTTACTATGAAACGAATGATGACCTCAAAGAAGAACCAAACATTACACACCAATTCCACATAGAAAAATGCCTCGTGTGGCTGGCCAAACGATTGATGCCAGCCGTGTATGTGGGTGTCATCAACACCATTGTGGTTGCCATGGCCGCCACCACCACCACCAACACCTCCACCGCCATCATCATTATCACCAAGACCGTTCACATCTACAGATTGACGACGTGTTCTTTCACTGGCACGACGACGTCCTTCTGTCTTCTCCAGGCTAAAGGTGGCTATGGGTGTTACAAGACCCGAACTAAAATTACCATTACCACTGCCCGCGCTGCTGGTGTAGTTGATGACCTTGAATGTGGGCTGTAGTAATGTGTGGCGTTGGCTATTATGGGGGGCGGTGGATGCATCCATTGTGGGCGGCGGCATATTACTTGTATGCTGAGGTATGGTCGGTACGCTAGTTGATATTTGTTGTGGTTGGTGTTGGTGTTGTTGGCTATTGGTGGGTGTAAAATCTACGCGAAAACCCGGATGTGTTTTCAGGCAGAAAGATATCACAGAAACGAATATGAAAAACACAGACATACTGGCAACCACCTGCAAGCAGACAAAAATTTTTGAAAATTGTTTCGAGAGTGTCAATACGGCAAACAAAGTAATGCAATAAAAGTTTTTAATAAATATTTCGGCTAGGAAGTAATGACTGAAATTACCCCCCAAAAAAACTGGAAAACATTAAAAAAGTTTTGATTGAGTTTTTAAACAATAAATCGCTTTTAAGATAGATGAGCTTTTTTTGGTGGGTGTGGAGGATGTTGGTTGTAATGATGCATGTTAGGTTATATTTTGGCATAATTTGAGAAGTTTTTATGTTTTGTTTAGGCTATTTGTTTGAAAGTTTTGTGGGATATCATATTTCAAGGGTGGCATGTAACTAATTGAATTAGGGAAATATTGGAAGGGAAACATATCACTATATATTTTGATTAAAAAAAAACTGTTATTAGCTATATATGTATGTATTAAATTAAATGGAGAACATGACCCAAACGTAAGAAATACTTGAAATCGGGTTATTCCTTACTAGAGGCTGTACCAAAAAAGGGCCGATATGAACCATTTTATTTAAAAATGATTCTGGTTGCAATCCAATCTCTCTGTCAAACTTCAAAGCCAAAGCTATCCTACATTTTGAAATTTTTTTCAAACTATGGGGGTACCTCCTTTGTAAATTTTTCAAAAATGAACAATGTTTTTTTTTTATTAACAACCAGTAAGAAAAAGTCAAAAGTCGGGCAGGGCCGACTATATGATACCCTACACCACTAGGCATATTCAGTAGAGCTTCCGTAACAAAAGAATTTATTTGAAGTAGATCATACCAGCTATTAACATTTGGCTTTAGAGCAATTATAATTTGGTTTCAAAGGAAAAACAATATATATGAGAGGCATATCCAATTCTGAATCTGAATCTTTTATACCAAATAACATTGGTTAGAGTGCATAATCTCACTTCGAAAAGCATTATATTAAAAAATATATATCGAAGCCGAGTTCCACCAAATGAAAACATACGTCCCAAAATGCACTCCATTTGGACTGACATTAGCCATTATTTGTAAAACAAAACTGAAATCGGATTAAGGGCATATATGGGAGCTATATTGAAATTTGAGCCAATCTTGAAAAAATTTGGCAAGGGTATTTCCGAGCTCGACAACATATCTGGTACCAAATATCATTGTTGTGGAGTGCATATTACGAAAGTGAGGGACCAAATAGAATGAAACATATATATGGGAGCTATATCTATATCCGAACCGATTTCCATCAAATTTCAGGTACTGGCTACTACACCGAATTCGGTCTGATACACCAAAATTCAGGTCATTTGGACGGATATTGGCCATTTGGTGCACAATTTACCCGAAATCGTTTAAAGATATATACAGGGTGAGATGAAAATAAAAACTGCAACCAACTTCAGACAGCTGTCATTTCTAAGCCACTCCTCCGACAGCTGTTAAAATTATTCCAGTGACAGTGTTTATAAGCGTACAAAAGCGTTTTGGTGAGAATTTTCCAGGAAAAAAGATATTCGTGATGGAATTCAAGTGTGTTAGTGTGATTTCTTCATATTTGGGAGGAAAACTACAAGTGGCTACCGTTAGAGCACTCCAGCATTTAAATGTGAATCAATATTTTGTGTCTCGTAGCCCGACGTCAAGGAAGTGGACGGAAGAAAACAGATCAGCTGAAATTGTAAAGAAGCGACTTGATCGAATCCCACGACGCAGTGGCCGAAAAATGGGTCGTGAGCTTAACACATCGCAATATTCCATTCGGCAAATATTGAAAAATGAGCTCGGGGTAAAGCTTTTGATTTTAAAAAAGTGCAAGAACTACAGCTAAAAAAAATGCTTCGCTTGGTCGAAAGCGGTGAACTGCCGAATTTGGTTTTCTCCGAAGAGAAAACATTCGTTGTCCAGCTGTTTGTATGCAAACAAAATGATCGTGTTTATCACGTCAGCTGAAAATGTCCACCTTCGGTTGACCACCAGAACTCAAGCGTCGGCCATGGTGATGGTGTGGGCCGCCATAACAGCCGATGGTCGCTCTCCGCTCATATTAATCGACCGTGGCATCAGAATAAATGCCGAATATTAATGCGAAAATATTCTGGAGGGTGTATTAAAGCCTTGGGCACAAAACATTTTGTCCGCAGACCTTGGACATTCCAATAGTACTCGGCACCATCGCATTAAGCACGCGCTACCTAGGAATGGTTATAAAATGAGGTTCCTCGCATCATTTCCAGCGCACAATGGCCACCAACATCTCCGTATACCAATCCGTTGGACTATTGTGTTTGGTGTATTTTAGAAAGCAAGGTTGGCACTAAAAAATACCAAAGTGTCGATCACCTTAAGCAAGCGCTTCGCCGGGAATGGGCCAAAATACCGCAAGGCGACATTTGGGCAGCGTGTGACGGTTTCATTGGCTGTTTGAAGGCCATAATTCGTGCCAAAGGTGACCAATTCGAACAAATCTAAACTTATTCTAAAATTTTCTTATCTCACCCTGTTTATTCATAATCTACCGAATTTTCCCTGTATATATGGAAAGAATTGAATTTTGTCGCCCAGTGTTATATAAAAAGTCAACCGGTGATGTTAAAAATATCCTTTAAAATACCTCTTTTCAAGAATATTTTAAGGGCTTTTTTCAAGGAGCCATTTTTAAATTTGGTCAAGCTGAATTCACGTTTTTTTTGTGAATAGTTGTGAACGAGTTTTTAGAGAAGGTATAAAATATTACAAAATTGAAAAAGTCCAATGATTTGTAAGAATAACTCAACTCTTTTTGTAAAAATTTTCAAGGCCAATATTTTTGAATCGTAATTTTTTATTCCTGTATTTATGTTTCTTTTTTTATTTTGGGGTCTATTTTCCCACTTACCTTTGCTCCCGTCGAACTTGATGGTTCATCAAATAAAGCCCATATTTTCGGTTTAATACGCTGCCAGCAGTTTAGGCGGCCCTTGTTGATGGAGTCTTCAAAACCAAATAGGCGGGCCACCTGCTCTTCTGAGGGTTTTTCATTGTCAATATCTAATTTATCCAATATGGCTAAAGTATTCTGCAAAATAAACAGAAACACAAATCAATAAATATAATTTTAGAATAACTCAAATGGCCAACAAACCTGAGTATCTCTGTGTATACTATAGGTGGACCAGCAACAGGGTTCAACTTGATTCGAATCTAAACCCCAAAACTCTAATTCTTCCTCAAACAATGGACCACATACATCGGTAGGATAGTGCAGTTTGCCAGTTCTGGAAAAGGAATTAAACATTAAAATTGAAATATAGAGTGTTAAATTTGTTTGCGGAACTCTCACCTGTAATAATTTAAAATTTGCGTAAAAACTCCCGGATGCCGATCAAAGAAATATTCATTGAGCACTGGATCATAATTGGCTAAGGCCTCAGTTAGACGTGATAATCTTGTGGCGGGTATTTTCTTTAGCGTTGCTTTATACGTCTCATACCTGCATACGGTATTGTTGTAATCGTTGTTTTATTGTTGTTGTAGTTGTTGAGTAAGTGAGAAAGTCGTAAAAAAAACAAGAAAAAGACATAAAAAAAAATTACGTACAATCTGAATATTTTATTTGCCATTAGTCAAAAAATGTACTGCTAATTCAGCAGAATAGCAAATAAATGGAAACTTCTATGCCGGTGAGGGGAGGAATCGACAGCATTCAGTATCCAAGCAACCATAGAACAATTCCTCCATTTTTTATGCACATGTACATGTGTTCCCTGTTACTTAGGTGTGTATGTGTGTGTGTTTGTTTGAATGGGTATAACTTTCTATTACGGATACGGATGTGATAAGGGGCATACACGAGGCCAATATGGAGGGTTGGGGGGTCAAACAAATAGAATACAAACGGCTTGGAAAATGGGAAAAACATCTTTCCGTTGTTTACATAGACATTTTCATTATTTATGAGCGGAAACTTTGGGTCACTATCACGAATAGCAAAAGATACGTTGCCGATGAGGATGATGATGATGATGGCGTTGACGATGTCGACGATAACGTGTGCACACAGATGGTATGATATCAGGGATGGGAAACATACAATATCTCCAAATGGCTTCAAATGGACCTATATAGAAGAAGGACCTATACAAATATAGACATTTTAATCGAGAAAAAATTTTTTTTAGCCTGACTAAAAAATCCTTTAAACGGCTACCCATGAGCCCCTCACACCGTTTTCTACATATATATGTCTTTTAATTTTCGTGAAAAGATACTATAGAAGAGGTACTTATGCGGAAAGAACACCTTCCAAATGGCTAACTATTTATGGAAGACTTTTACAAGATTTTTTTTTGGTAAATGTATATTGTCTTCACACAGGATATTTTGTATCGGAAGTACCCAGATATGAGATGTTCGGAAAAAGTTTTTAGCATTTTAGAAGAGATTATTATTCAAAATTTCTACCCGTTGTGGGGGAATGTAGTCTCCATTCTCCTTTATATTAGATCTAATATAGGTAGTTATAATAAAATTTGCGAAAATTAGCAAAAAATCTGTGAATAATTTTGCATTTGTGGGGGAGATACCAGAAAGAGTGAACCGATGTTATCCATTTTTACAACTGCTCCAAATCTGATACAAGGTTTACACCGTGTGAAGTTTCAAGCAAGTAGAATACTTCCTTCCCTTAATAAGACTTTCTAACCCTCCACAATAAAATGCAGGGTTTATAAAATTTGTATATCTGAAGGATCTCTAAATTTAGTCCTGACTGAATAGGCCCCCATATAACGTTTCGTCCTGATTTTCAGTATATTGGAGACTTTAGAGTTTAAAATTGACTCGCGAGTGGAATTTTTTGAAGAGTGGTAGTTTTATACGGATTTAATTATTCACTCTCTTCATTCTTGTGTGGGAGAGCTCCCGAGTAACTCTTGTTAGAAAAATTAGAGTGGGAGCTGAATAGCTTGAAAAAGAGTGAACATTTGCTCTGAGAGTGAAATCGAAGGGAAATAATATTTTGTTTCCTGACTTGTGTGTGCGTAACAGCAAACCGGGTATGATATTGTTGTGAACTGAGGGGGAAGAGGTTACCATGGACAAAATCAAAAAAAAAAAGAGTATGGCCTGTCGGCAAGAATAGAATTAGACCGTTTTCGAGCGAATTTTGCTCCTACTCCGAAACGAGCAAAGCATAGTAGCCCTTATTAGAGCGAAACTGAAAAACAGAGTTTACTCTCTTTGTTCTTCCTTCTCCCAGGGGCTCCAATTTGACTTCGAGCGAGTTTTCGGAGCTCTGATTGCGAGTGATCTTAGATTTCTCTTTGAAAAAAAATATTCCATATACAGGTCCATATGGCCTTACTTCCAAATGTTAGAGAGGACAGGCGATTTGGTAATAAGTCAAGTTTGTCAAGTTCTCCTATGGAAATCCTTTAAAAGCTTTAAAAGATAGCTTTTAAAAGGTTTTCTTTTCATTGGATCTATAAGAAGCATTCTATAGACAGAAAGTCCCCCAAAAAAGTGTGAAGACTTTTTAAGGGCTTTTTAACGCTGAAAAACTTTCCAGAAGTTCTTAGAAAGATAAACATTCTTCTTGGCTGAACAATGTTGGCTTGTTTGTTCGGGATGCCGTAGTATTTTGTTGTTGCAAAATGGTCAGGCTTTATCCCTTTATTGTTGTTTCTTATAAAAACAACGTTTGTTTATTAGTGGAGAACGATGGTAATGTTTACCAGGAGGTAAGGCAGGGAATACCTAGGTTTCGGAAAGAGCCACCAATTCTCATCAGTTCCCTTGTTTTTTGTCTGGGATATTCTCCCCAGAAGTTATTTTAAAAATAACTTCTATGACCAAAAAAAATATTTTTTACCCAAGTGACGAGATCGTAAGCGAGACGAGATCAATGGCTTTTTTAAGAAAAGACTTTTGGAAGAGGGGTTTTCTTATCCTATGGAAATCCTTTAAAAGCTTTAAAAAATAGCTTTTAAAAGGATTTTTTTCATTGGATATATACGAAGCCCCCTCAAAAGTGTGAAAACTTTTTAAGGGCTTTTTTACGCTGAAAAACCTGCCAGAAGTTGTTAGAACGGTTAACTTTCCTCTTCTTTTTCTTAACTTTAAGGAAAGACTTTTGAAAGAGGTTTTTACTTATAGGGTACTATATGAGAACTTTTAAGGGTTATATTATCCTAGAAGACCTTACGGAAGGGTTCCAACTATAGAAACCCTTTTATGTATAAATGATGGATAAGAAGAAATTATTGACAAAATATTATTTTAAAACAGTTTCTATAGAATAAGTTATGCAAAGGATTTCCATCGATAGAATATATTTCAAAGCTTATTCTACAGATAGGAAATAATTGTTATAAAACGACCTCTTAACGGGATTTCCATATAAAGGGCGTTCAAAGGTGTATTATTTAAAAAAGAAATCCTAAAAAGCACACTTCCAAGGACCTAATATCCTTACAAAGTCTTTCATGGGTGAAACGTGTTGCTAAAGTTCCGGTAAATGCCATTTTTAACCTCTTTTGATACGACGAATTTTTTTTTTTTGAAAATCAAAATATCCATCCCTGATCTGCATACATTTCACCACTCACACACACTCACAAAATAACGAACGTATGCACGATATGGTCACAGCAAAAGCACACATAAAAAGCGACACACAACCGAAAAGGTTGTAAACAAAATTAAGTTTATTTAAATAATTTTCGCACGTTCACAGTTGTCTCTTTTTTTTTTCGCTGGCAAAGAAGGCATGTGTGTTGGTTTCCAGCTGGACCAGAGACCGGCAGCTTCTTAATTGGAATAATATTTGCTATAAATAAAAAATGACTTTAAATGCTTTCAAGGATCTTGTTGAGAATTCTGTGTCAGAAACATCAATAAATAAAAAGATAAGTTGTGAAAGCGTAGAACACAAAACAAAAACAAAAGAAGTAAAGTGAAAAACTAACTTGTGTTGTCGTTGCTGTTGTTGTTTCTCTTTGGCAGTTGTGCTTGGGGCAATATAATGCAAATGTTTAAATAAAATTTATGAATTCTTAAATTGAATTATGACCAGTCCAATGAAAAATAAAGTAGAAATAATAACAACAAGAAGAGCAACAAAAACAAAAGATATGATGAGGAGATGCAAAACGCCAACAGCAGAACTTCGCATAAACAAATTTCGAATAGAAAATTTGTGACAAACAAAAACAAAAAATGTTGACTCGTAAAATATGCAAATAATAACTTTTTTCTCCTCGGAAAATTTTCAAAACTGTATATCTAAATTTTTAATTTATTTATTTTTATGATATCACAAAAGCAAACCCGGGCAACAACAACAGCAAGACCAACCGATTTGATTGCCATTAAATATGGCGAAATGTGTTGTGAACAAACAAACGCATACACACACACACTCACACACAAATGGTTTAAGGGTTGTTCAAATAATGCTCCAAATTCCAAATATGTTTATTATAATTTGTTTATAGCCCAGAGGTGAATAGCTGCTGACCGTTTCGCTTAATGATGCATATCATACATAATATGGCCACCACCAACCACTCTTTCCGCTGCTGCTGCTTCGTGCCATATTGTCCATATTGAATTAGATATGGGAAAATTCCAATGCCATAAACCCAGCTAAGGGTAGGGGGACCCCGATGACCATAATGGCATGTCCTATGGCAATGGGTTTTCATTTAATATTGGTTTTTGGAAATTGGCAAAACCTTTTGTTTCGTTTGGGTATCCAACTAATGTCAGGAGAATATTTTTCGTTGAAATTAAGTTCTATTAATGAACATAAAACCGCAATAAGTTGCTCTATGTCACCATAATTGAACTTGATGGAAAATAATTCAATTCGCAGAAAAATAGAACAAAGTTCGTTAGCTAAATATCGCCCCTACCACGGGAATGAAATAACATTTCATGTTGTATATTATAAAGGAGGGAACAAAAAAAAATGATACAAAAAGGAGGATGTCAAAATGGGAGATATTGCAGACGGAATTAGGTATCGTAGCTGTGCTACAATATGGATTTCGAACTCAGGCATTGAGACAAAGCTTTAAGGCACAAATTTCGACCTTGAATTCCGTCTAAAGTAACATATTCAAACATAAGTTACCAATCTTCGTTGTTACGAAACCTTGGGAATGGATTGAATTTTTAAAATTCTAGATTTTGTACTGAGGATATTGCATTAGCATTACGTATACGCCACAACGGCCGTTTTTTAGGGACTGCTGTTAAAGCTTTCAATATCGCTTTATATTGAAAATTTATATTTAAACAAGGTAAAAAGTATCAGACTGTTTAGCCGACAGATGTATACCCTCTGCCAATGTTCGATTATTATACCCTAAAGCCATATGGCCAAAGAGGGTATATATCATTTGATACGGTCAAAACGTGCCTAGTCGAAGTAGCGATTTTAGATCCCAGGTCTCTATGGACCAAATCCGTTTCAAGACATTTGGAGTC